CCGACTTGATATTCTTGATTTACATACTATATAACTTCACATATATTTGATTTAGAATATTCGGTTAGGTTTTGAAACCTTTTATTTAATTAAATTCCATGTTTAAGATTTAATCCTCATGGTGATATACCACTTGGGATTGTATTGTGGCATGCTAGAAAATTAAGCTTAGGTATAGTTGTTCACATATATTAAATTGAGATTAATTGTATGAGAATTGCAACTTTTAATTTATATTTAACTTTAGTGAAAGGTTAAGTCGCATGGTCTGAAATTGAATGAAATAAACTTGTAATGTAATATTACATTAGTCCTTGGCATATTCTCTAAGATATGTTAAATTGAGAGTATTTGGTTAAGTTTAAAAATCTAGAGATTTTAATTAAAAGAATTAATTAAAATCTATTTTGTGGCCCCATTAGCTTAATTAAGGTTTTAACTTGATATTTGTATTGGCCATGACTTGTTTACTAGTATATATTAATTTGGGACTATTAGAAGTTGTTTTAGAACCTTGGTAATTAAATTAGCATGATTTAATTAAAGTTCTACTTTGTTGTTCCAACAACCTAATTGAGTTTTAGAATGGATATAGGTGATGACCATACCATGTCCTTTAACATGTATTAAATTGAGGTTATTTGGAATTGAATCGGAATCTAGAGAATTTAATTGTGTTTATCTATTTAAATTCTTTCAATTTACTCCATGATCTAGTTGTGTTTTAGAAGTGGTTTCTATATTCAAATCATGGACTTAGACTTGTTGTATATTCATTTGGTTATGTTTTGAACATTGGATAACATAGTTGCTATGTTTGTATTCGTGATAATATGTTTTCCTTATTGAATATATTGTTGCCTTGTGTAATGATTTGCACACTTCGTATTTAACATCTTTCATGCATAGCGTATAACGAATCGTACACTGAAGATTCGACATTCATCATATCATATTAGTTGTGGATTTAGAGCATGTATTGTATAGGTTTCCAAATTTGGTTGTGCTTAGTAGATAGTTGATTATCTTGCATATTCCTGTTGATATATGCGTTGTTGCACAACTTGTTGATTTTGGAAACTTGGGGATGTCGTTGTTTGACTATGGCTAGGACGTGGTTCTAGTACGGATGATAGTCCCTCTATATGGTCTAGTGCGCACATAGGGAGGTTACCCATGGGCTAGTAACCCTAAAGTAACTATGTTGTCGGTCTGATCCGGCGTGACGTCCGAGTATCCACTTTGTTTAATTTCGCATTTCATTTTCAAGTTGATAACTAGATGATGTTGTAACTTGTTGTTTCTTATTTGTCGTTCCATTTTAAGTTACAGGATGTTAACTTTGCGAAATTATGCTTTATGCGTTGTATTGGAAGTTCCAATGTTGGTTAAATTGCATCGATATTAAAAATCGTGTTTTAACGTTCTAATAAAGCTTAGGATTGATCCTATTGATTCATTTATAACATAGACATTAGGTGGCATAAACCACTACTGTGATTTTGTGCTTTAGATTCTAAGTTGATGGTTTTGAGAACTTAAACCTTGTTGCATTGTATAACATGCTCTTTTGTTGTTGAATTGCATGGATAATGTGATTCTTGTTAACTTGTATTCAAATATGCTTTTGTCATGTTGTATGGATTACTCTAGACCTAGTTCAATTGTATTGAAAATGCAATTCATATTAATCTATACTCAATCATTCTTCTTGTCGTGTTCTTTGGATTATCCCAACCATGATTCGTTTCATACACGTATGTATATCATGATTCTTGTTGTTTAGACTCTAAGGTAGCTTAGGATGCTCCCCGAGTCTCACTTGGACATAGACGTTAGGTGGCATGAGCCCCTTTAACATGTTTCACCTTAAGGTGATAAATTTGTAAAATGCTAGGTCGATGCATGCTTATCTCCTACGAGTAGCTTTATGTTACTCACCCCTATGATACTGGGGCATATTTCAGGTACGAAGACTTGGTTCGTGAAGCCTAGCATTCCTTGGATGTCGTGTAGCTTTCAAGTTTCCATTTCATGCAAATGTTAGCATGAAATGTCATTTTGTAGACTTATATGTCAAAACTATGTATATTTGATTCCATGTATGTAATGTGTACTTAAGTACACTCCTTTCAATGTATTTGATATGTATGAGATGAGGCCGGAGGCCAATGACATGTGTATTGTATTTTATACAACTTTTTAACTTCATGAAATATTATGAAAACCTTGAAAAATCGCAAGTCATTGCTTCACCATGGTTGCATCGGGTGTGGGAATTCCATTTTCATTCTTTCATAGGGTCTTATTAATCTTGTATAAAGTGTGGCCAAGGGCCAAACAGTCATTTGATCCCGTTTTGCATTTTTGGATTCCATGTTTTCCATTCCAAGTCCATTTTTGCCTTTTTGCCCGTTGGGGGGTCGGATTTTGCATCGGCTATATTTTTAAGCCATGGACCATTGTAGCGCGTCTAAATAGGTAAGTTACGTTTGCGTGCATAGTCGTTTCCGGACAAAACCTCATCGTTTGTGTTTTGAACCTCTTGTGAATTCATTTCGCATTTTTTTTGCATATTCTGATCTAGGGGCATTATGGACCTTTCACCTCAGTTTTATTTTCTTCTTTCGACATGGTCGCTTAGAAAACGTGATTTTAGGGGGGGTTTCTTTTTCGTGTTTTCCAGAAAAGGTCGTCTTGGTGCTGGAAATCGATCGCAAAGTTTCAGCTTCCAGTTTTCATTTAGCAGCTTTATGACCCTCTTGTTCAATTCTGATCTAGGGGCATTTTGGGGATTTCACAGTGAGTTTTTTTCGATTTCGTCCTTGCTGTCGGGTAGAAAACTCGATTTTAGGGGGAGTTTCTTCTTCGTGTTTTTCCAGAAAAACTCGTCTTGACCTCCGTTTCAAGCCTCAGTTCTGGGCAGATCAAAAAAAATGTAGCAGCAGCCAAGGGTTGCCACCAGCCATGTCTTTGGGCGCCGACATGCACGCCGGTGGGTTCACGCATGGGCGCCGTGTGCGCCATGGCCCCTCGTCGAGCCACCGTGACATCAATTCTTCTTTTGGGCTTTTCTCCTTCGTCCGGACTCCGATTCAAGTGAATTTTTTTTGAACTTGACTAATTTTTCGCTGTCTTTCCAACGGTGTGCTCAGTTGCACCCGGTTCTTCCTGAATAATTACCATTTTACCCTTTTTGCTTTAAGTGCTCGTTTTTCTTAGTCATGTTGTTTCTCCTTCGTTCGGACTCTGAATCATGCGATTCTTGAGTCCATCTTAATTAGTTTTTTGTTATCCTTCCAGCGGTGTGCTCGGTGGCACCCGAATCTACAGTTTTCAGAAATAACTATTTTGCCCCTGGGGGCTTATTTGTCATATTTTCGATCTTTTGCTTCCGCATCAGTTCTTGTTGAGTTCTACGACCTCATTGAAAGTCACTTTGACTTCTTAGAGTCTTGTTTTCTGTTTTTGCTTCCGCATTCGGATCCGTTATCGGATCATCCTTACGGTTCATCACAGGACACGCTGGCCTAAAAACCAGGGTCGTCACATAATACATTTGGTTCCTCTACTTCCCGGGTCAGTGATGACATATCCATGGTTTCGGTATCCAGTCAAGAAGGTAACCAATTTTCCTATCTCGCTAGTGAGGCTCAAGATCCAGATGCTGATCTTATCCACGATGAGGACCCCTTTGCTGAAAATATTGGGATTCTCTTACAGTTCATTTGGTAGAAAAGATGAAACCTCTAAAACCATAGAGATTCGTTTCTATCCTGCCGACAGAAGAAGCCAAAGTTCTTTTCTCAAAAGTCTTTGATTCTACAGTACTATTTCTTATCAGAAGTTGATCATTGCTATCCGACAAGAAGACAGAACGTAGTGGTGGGCCAACCGACTGCATTATTCTAAGCACACGCCATCCATCCATTATGCAGACTTCAAATTTTAATTTTCAAGTCCAATTTTATGTATAAACAGAGGACCATATGTCTCCTCAATGTATCTTTCAGTTTTCATTTCTCTCTCTCTTGTAATATTTCTAAGAGTACTTTATTTTGAAATTCAATAAAGAAGAAAGTTTCTGTAAGTGTTTCAAAGTTATTATCTCCGTTAATATATCTGTTTACTGTTATTATTATCTTTGTGTTTCATATCTGGTTTTAACATCGATCCTTGGTCATTTGGTATCAAAGCCATATGTTGGCTTAAACTTATATTGTTAATGCTTTTAAGTTTCTGGTAGGATAATTATATTCGTAACCATTACAAGAATCTTGTACAGGATACAGCAATTTTATATACAAGGTTAAGAAAATCACCTTCTCCATGGACTTTAGAACATACCAAAGCAGTCCAGAAGATTAAACTTCGAGGTAAACAAATACCTTGCTTGGCTCTGGCAAATTCTTCATGGTTCAAAATTGTTGAAACAAATGCATCCAACATTAGATATGGAATAATTCTTAAACAAAAGAATCCAGAAACAAGATCTGAGGAGCTTGTTCGGTTCACTTCAAGAACTTGGAAAAAAGCGCAATTAAATTATTCTACCATCAAGAAAGAAATTCTTTCTTTAATTAAATGCTCTCCTACTTAGATTTAATTTTTTAAAATCATTTCTTATGACTTCATCATCCATATGTTAGTTTTGGTCGACCTATTTGTCTTTACCTTCTATGCAAATCATTTTTGCATAAAGGGCAAAAGAACAGTATTTATTTATTTATTTTTTTTAAAAAAAAAAAAATCACGCCCTGAGGTTTGAAGGTGAAGGTAACAAGTGTCAGACTTCTCCTTTTCCAAGCTTAGGTGCAGCCTAAGACACGTTCAAGTGACTGCTCACGTGCAGCCTTAGACACGTTCAAACACCCTTGAAGTGATCGCAGGGCGTAACATTAGGCAGTCCCGCTATCATGGAAAAACCAATGGCTTCATCTAATGAAAGAATGCCACAAGGTCACATCATGAGTAAGAAAAACAATCATAATTCCAGGGCATACAGAACGGATAAGTTTGCAATTCTTGTCCAAAAGAAAACATTCCATAAAGCAGATTCAAATGTGCCATACACACAACATACTTCTGCTAAGGGAAAATAAATTCTGAGATACAATACATAAATAGCATCACCCTTTTTTATTCAAATAGGGACTGTAGTGGGTTTATAGTCAACTACGAGGACTTTATCCAAATTAGAGAGGAACAGATCGGCAAATTCGACATGAGCTGGATGGGAAATATACTCCGCTACGCCTTCCGTGCTTTCAAAGGTTGATTCAAACACATGAGTGAAGCCTTGATGCAGGTTCTCAATGCTCACATCCATGCCCCTGTAACGAACAATAAATTGAAATTTCTATATTCTGCAATTGGTGATAGGAATATCAGTCATTCTACACTATTTAATTCAACCATAACCTCATAAAAGAGTTTATACAGACTTGTCCTCCATTCAACATATATATGCTGCAATAAAACTGTTACAAGTGACGCTAAAGATTGTGTTTTTTATGCAGGGCACGCAGGCCATATGGTTTAATGTAACTTTTTAAAGCATTGTTAGAGAAGATACATATATATTGGTTTCTTTACTTTGCGGAAGATGTTGGGGAAAGATATTTTGATTCCGAAAGTGTCAAATTTTGTTCATTCAATAAATGTGGACCAACCAGGTTATAACAAAATAATGTCGGCACTCCTAATATAACAGACAACTATCATAATAACTGATTAAAAAAAGGCAATGCTGCGTCTTCATGCAAGGGACATCAACCCTTCAGAACATCATGAGTTGGTGAACTGTTCTCTTCAGGAAATTAATGAAGATGCTGGTACGAGAGATGGTTTGGCAGATAAGAACTTATTAATAAATCTCCTGGCCTAACCACCTTCGTTTTTTTAAAGGGGGATTTGATACCAATATTATTGAAGTATTGTGCCACAAAGTAAATTCCAGAAAATTACCTTAAGAAACTTGGTAAAAAAAAAAAAGAGCAAATATGCTTAAGGTGAAGGGAGGAGGTCGCACGCAGTGACCCTAATCCCCCCTCCCCCATGTCGAAAAATCTCAGTTGGATTCTTTTTGCCTTGTGGAGAGGGGTAGCTAAGTTGCAACTTTGTAATCCTTTGAAGTTCAACCAAAATCCAGTCTTTAACTAGGAGTGACAATTGGGTGAGTTTGGGCAAGTTTGGAATGGGTTGGGTATAAATGGGTTAATAATGATAAGCGCTAAAAAGTGCGCATTTAAACCCCTTAAGCTGTTCAACGTTCTAGGACCTTATTCTATCTTTTTTTCCCGTTTTAGTGAGAATGAGCTTAATGTTTGTGGATATCATTTCTGGAAACCCTCACGAGACTTCACTCGTCCACTAGGGGTAACTTAGGGGTTTAAAAGGCTTGTTGCATGTGCTAAATGCAATCGTGTTCCCTACAAAAGTGGCGTTATCCATTTATTGCTTTCTAGTTTATAGTTATTTAGTTGTTCATTTCTTTCTTTACTTCGTAATTCATTGCTAGGAACTAGCAATATTTAAGTTTGAGGGTGTGATAAACGCTGAAAAGTGCGCATTTAAACCCCTTAAGCTTGAACGTTTTAGGACCTTATTCTATCTTATTTTCCTGTTTTAGTCTAATTTCATGTTATTTCCCTTTTCAGGCACTTATCTCCAAAATAAGTCAATTCAGCTGAATTAGAGCATAGAAGATGTAATCTCAAGCTTAATGAAAGAAAGAAGTAAAGTGGAAGCAAAGTGGTGAAAAAACAGCATTCTTCAATCGATCGAACCAAGCTCCGATCAATCACACAGTGATCGTTCCAACCATGCCATGATGGATCGAGCTTTTTGTCCTTATCCTCAAGAAATTTCCCTCTTCGATCGATCCAACATTTTTTATCTTATCACCACCTACCACTTTTGTCCTTTTCCCAAAATATCCCAAAAATATTTTAGCTTTGTCGTTATTCCAAAAAGGCACCGCCATAGTTCGATCGATCGAACCACTCTTGTGATCGATCGAACCTCCTCAAGTGCGAGAAAAACAGAGTTCCAGCCAATTAAAAGGTGTACTCGTGGTGCAATCATTTAGAGGTCCTAGTGCACGAGGTCTGACCATTGGGTGTGACATTTGAGCTACCTATATAAGGATTTTGGCCATTTTTTACATGATATACTTTAAAAGGGAACCATATACAAGAGAGAGGTTGGAGAAGTCCAGAGATTAGAGGGAGAGATACACACCATTTGGGAGAGTTCTTCCACTCATCTAGGGTTTCTATCAAAAGGAAGAAGATCATTTCTACCATGGAAATAACCCTTGAGGGTTCGATGACTACATCAATGAGTGGCTAAACCATTCTCTTAGGGCTAGAGATAGCCCTAAGCATGCCTCCTAAACTTTGATGTTTGTAATTAAAGGGGATTTGTGTTGTAATTATTGTTTTGACATCTTTTATATATGAATCTTTGTTCTACAATGATTTGTGTAGTTTAATACTTCCAATTGATCATTTAATTCTATCCATATGTCTATGTATGCTAGGATAAATGTTCATATGTTTATTTCTAGATTTTGTGACATTGATGCATGTCTATGTGTGTTGATATTATGAATCTAGTGATGATCAAGACATGGTGCTTAAATAGAATACTCTTGTGGTTTATTTGATGGCTCATACTTATTTCTTGATGGATTGTGCCACATCTCTAGTTTAATTAGTTTAATTTTCATGTCTCTAGCTTAGTTGTAGTGTAGTTGCCTCATTTTCTTAGATAGGCGGACAATCCATGCTTGTTGTTTGATATTCCATACTTATGAATGCAAGTAATATATTTCTCTAATTTGATGATGTACATTAATTGTGGACTCAAGGGAAAGAATAATGGCTTGATTTGCTATATTGTGCTATTCACTAGTTTAGTTAGACAATGTATGCTTAATTGGTCATCCATGCTTGTTGATTCAATTAATGGCACACACTTTTATTGCACTATTTAATCCCCCTAATCCATCAAACATTGAATGTCTAGAAAGGTGAGGCTTACTGGTGAACTCTAAGTCCCAAGACCCCTCCCTTATACTCTCTACATCTCATTTTACCTCAATTGCTTTACTTTACTTTGCATCCATTTAGTTTACATTGTAGTTAATTAACCAATCAAAACATCTTTGATCACTTGACCTACTAATCCGACATTAATTTTCAAGCTAAATACACTCCATTTCCCTTGAGATGATCCCTACTCACCCTAACTATATTTATAGTTAGAAGTAGTAGTAACAATCTCTATATTTAAACTTGACCACACTACACACTTTTTGTAACTTTGGTATTGACCACACCAAGTAACTCATTCTCAACCCACCAATAGTGGGTCATAAATGGGTAAGGGCTCAAATGGGTGGGTCAAAACGAGTTAACCCATTCCAATCCTTTTTTTAACTTTTGCAAATCTTTTACTTTCTTACCATCCATGGCTATAAAAAAAAAAAAAATTAATAATTTGTTCTTACATTAATTTTTTGATTGCAAGCATTACAAATTTTTTTCCTTTGGGAAAAGTCACTATACAACTTAATCAACAATAATAATTAATTTTTTGATTTCAAGAGTTACAATTATTTTTTTTTAATTTATTTTGGGAAAAGTCATTGTACAACTTACTCAACAATATTAATTACATATATTTTAAAAAAGGAGTTTTGAGCCAAAGTTTTAATTAATTGTTGGTCATTTATTTTATACAATAAAACATAATTTGAAGGAAGAGTGAAGAGAGAGAGAGAGGGAGAGAGAGAGTTATCAAAGGGAGAAAAAAAAAAAAAAAAGCAGCGAGGTGAGAGATCGTTAAGGAATAAAAACACAAAAGAAAAAAAGCAGGGAAGAGAGAGAAACGGAGGAGGGAGAAAAAAAAAGGGGAGGAGAGAGAAAAAAAAAAGTGAAAAATTGGAGGAGATGGAAGAGAACAGAGGAGAAAGAAAGGAGCGTTTTGTTTGAGTGAGTTAAGATGGGTACTCACTCTTAACCCAATCATTGACCATTGAATTGTATGGGCACCCACTTTTTACCCATTGTTATCCACTCACTTAAATTTGGGTGCCTAAATGATTTAATTTTAGCGGGCGGGTTTGGACGGTTTAATGGGTTTGGGCTTTAATCGCCACCCTTGACTCTTAACCATGATTTGACTTTGATAAAAAGTAATTTACTCTATGTTTACTTTTCCATGTTAAGTGTCTAACCATTGGATTGACCTCTTGCTTATAAATTGTTAAGCTGTCAGCTTATCTTCACTCTTAGCTTTGGGAGTAAGCAGTAGAAGTTTAATCTCACGAGTGACCAGTATATTAGCATCCAGGTTATCTAAATACTGACTTAGCTTATGTTTGCTTTTTATAACTTAAGGAATATATGGACCTTGTAACTGTTTATTGGGAGCCTACTTATTTAGAATTCAATATAATTGGGTAGCAGCGCAATTAAATGTAAAGACAAATCCAAAGAAAATGTACAGCTACCTTCTAAAGGTTTGTCCAAAAATTATAAAAATTCACAAAAGAAATCCGAGATCTTCTTTTTGCTCAGTAATCTGAGAACTTTGGCAAAAATCAATAAAATCTATTATTTTTTCATAAATTACAATTGAAAGTAAAAAATGAAAATATCTTGAGTTCAAGAAGTGTGAATTTCATATGACGCACAAAAATACAACTGTAAATTCAACAATTTAGGGAAGTTTGGATCTAAAAGATATTAGTAAGAATATATTTTATTAATTTTGCCTATAATCTTATAGTTTTTCTCCCTTCCCTTCAAGAGAAAATCCTCTACCCGCAATTAAGAGAAGCAAAACTTACATCCATTTTGCACCAAATGCTCCACAAACCAAGCTTGTTGGTGATGCGATGTATTTACTTATATGCCCTCAGAGACATAAAACGAACTAAAAGTCAAGATAATTCGAGTATTATCTAATCAGGGAGTGTTTCCAAGCATATTCAGAATTGAGAGAAGGTTTGACAAATAGAAAATTTTCATAGGCAGAGCTTCTTTCTGCTTGTAAGGTAGTGTCCATGGCTTAGGGAGGGGCAGTCAACCCATAACGTTTTGACAACTTCAAATTATGTTACTTTAAATTTCTGCAAAAGGGCATGCTGAGTTCTTGAAATTAATTATTCCATTAACTTTATCGTTCTTAAATATCAAGAAATTTGGGGAGAAACCACGGGCCATTGGCCCACGCGGTATAACCTCCCCTCTTTTAAGGGGAGTTGAGGGGTCTGAGCCCCAGCTGGGGCAAAATTGTGTAGATATGAGTATGTATGAGTTGTTTACCTAACCAAAAAAGGGAAAAATAAAAAGCAAAAAAAATTGTGGAGAAGCACACAAGCTAAATTACTATAGTCCCCCCTACAAAGCTTTCTACATTGTTGAAATGGAGAGCAAAGCCCACTTTTTTTCACTCAATAAATGGGTAAATTAGGAGTCCCAAAAACATTTTATGCAGCTATTTGACATCTTGTTATCCAATGATTTCCAGCAACAAAATCATCATATACACAAAATGACTGTCTGCAGGCAACATTAAATATTGAAGATTTGCAAAAGATATGTAGTTCAAACAGCAGTTGACAATTAGCAATAAGTTCACTATATCTAGTAATGAACATTATATGAGATGGTAAAATTATGCATTCCATTTAGTATCCAAATAGTTCCTTTGAATAATCAACATTATCTAGTATCAGATGCACAAAACCAAGAACATCTTGGATCCATTCCTTAAAAAAAAAAAAGAAAAAAAAAACAACTAAAAGGAAAAAAAAAAATAGTAATAATAGAACAATCAACCCAGAAACAGAACTCAATTCCTTCCTGAAAAGGCATTTGCTTTATAAAACTGATCAACATGATACCCTAGTCAGACAATCAACAATTAAGACTTTCAGAGAGAGAGATGGGGTACCAATTGAAAGCTTTCATGGGTTCGATGAGGGAGACAAGATTGGCATAGCCCTTGATGAGTTGGTCAATCTGGTCAGGTGGGACGCCATCTTTGAACCTGGCCAGCAATACGTGCTTCACAACTCCCTTCGACTCCTCCATAACAAACTTTTTCTCCTCCTCCTTCCTTGGGTTCTTCTGCCCTCATAGTCCCTTTTATATCTCCAATCACACTAGTGGTAGGTAAAGTTAGTGGATCCTGGTAGACGTGTCACGCGTCTATAATTTAAAAATAATTTTTATTTAATAACATTTCTCATATATAATAACAAAAGACGAAAAAGTAATGATATACATAATATTAGAATATTCACATTGCTCACTCTTATAAATTGTGTCACTTCTTATTAAAGAACTTATAAATTAATTAATATTTTAAAAGTTTTGTTTAATAAAATTATAAATTATATTTATATTAATAATATCCAGGTGATATTTATGTTTATTTTTCTTAAAATTTGATTTACACTTTACTTTAGAAACTGTGATTTACTTTATTGTATTTAAACTTTTATATTTTTATATTTAATTTAATTAATTGCTAATTGTTATTATATTATGCTCCTGCATTTCGTATTGCGTATTGAAGCACATGCTCCATGTGATGGTTCACCTGAAAATCAGTTTATAATTAAGGCCACCTCTCCACCGCAGGCCCATATCAAGAATCCACCAAGTCAACAATGAAAGATTTGTGGTTTAAAAAATAAATAAATAAATTTAAAGATTTGCTTTCATTTATATATATTAACTTTTTGATGAGATCTATTTATGAGATCTGTTTTATGATTTGCTTTATATATATATATATATATATATATATTTGTCTCTTCTAGTATAAAATATACTTCTCTCGTCATGAGAACCATGTTTATAGATATACACATGTTAAGGATATTTTAATAAAAACTATTATTTATTGTGGTTTATTATATTTAATTACTCATTTTATTAGTATATTTTATTATACATTATTACCTATATTATGAATGTGTTAATTCTATCATTAGCGGTTACAACTATAGCATTATATATATACATGGTGACTGTTACGATTGTCCAAGGGAAAACATGGGCATTTCAAGGCCATGCCATGTCTTGGGAGTACTTTGGCTTTGGTTAGATAGCCATGAGGATGCTCAGTGGGTTGTCAACGTGCATAGGATGCTCAGCGTGCACACAAGATGCTTAGAAGGATGCTCGGTGTGCACTGGGGATGCCCAGTGGCATTTTCGTAAATATAGCGAAAAGGTGAACTTTGGAGTTTTGGCCCGGGATCTTTATGGGAGGTATCTTGAGTCCATAGAAGCCAGTTGGCGCAAACGGCACTCGATTTGGATGTCGAGAAGGGCTTGAAAGGCCTTTATGACTCCTCAAGCATGGGTGATGTTTACTCCTGTCAAAGTGCTGATTTTCCTTAAGACTATACTAGGGGGGGTTTGTTGAGCACATCAGTTGGGCTATGGCATGGCTTGCTTAGAGGGCTTAGCCAACGTGCATGGGCACGTGTTGCACCACTCCAAGATGGTTGCGCAAGAGGGGAGCATCTAAACTAATGATGGGCAAACAAGTGTGCGGGCGTTCAGCCCGGTCCGCGCGCGGGCGTCCAAGCAGGCGTGTAGCCATGGGCACATGAGGGTTCCAATACGGCGCACATGGATGGGCACCAGTGTACGCACTGGCATGCAGCAGCACGCTTATGGGCGTGCACACGGGCGTGCATGGCTTGGCATCAACGTGTGCACCGACGTGCACTCGGGTGTGCACTCGCGCATGCACACGGGCGTGCATGGCATGGCACGCCGTGCACTCAGAGACATGTGGGTGCAGAATAGTGGACTTGGTAAGGGCTAGGTTAACAAGGTTGGCTCAGATGTTGCTAAAGCATGGACCACACAAGTCATGGCTTGCGGTTACAAGAGATGGCTTACTGGGTTCAGTTGGTTGGGGGAAGTTACTAACACTTCCCCACTCATTATGGAAAGTGGGGGTGTGCTGATTAACTTCCCATGCAGGTGGCACAAATCTGAGATGACAACACGTAAGCGATTGGAGGTGGTTTCTTCCACTATGCAGAGTGCAACTTCTTGTGGGATATGTGGCATGAGCAGAACATGCCAACAACAGTCTAGCAGTTGGGCTTGTCAACTGCATTGTATTGCTGGCATACTTAGAGGGTGCCAGCACGACCCTAGGTGGATGAGGGTTTCATCCATCATCTTAGTGGGTAGTTATGGGCGGTTTTGAGAGTGGCCTATATAATGCTAAGGTGGGCTTTGTAGAGGGAACAGATTGGAAGGTGTGAGCCTTGGTTCCTTGTACGAACTCATATTCCTTTGTAGTATGTTTAATATAAGCAAAGGTTGGGGCTTATCCATGTAAACTGTGTGTGCCTTCTTTACATTTCAGTATTGTGTGAATTATATTGGGTGTTGGCTGAGACTTGGTGGCCCTTAGTGCCATTACAGAGGCAAAAATTTGTGGTGTGATATAGCGCTGTAACAATTGGTATCAGAGCCCCATTCTACGATAGCTGGAGGCAATACTCGTGAGAGAGTTTCCCGTTTGGAGGAGTTTGTGGGTTTTCCTACAGAAACAGAGGTACAAGATGGTGCAAATAGTCTTATTGTTCAAATCAAAAACTTGGCTTCTGAAATGGAGATCTTGAAGACTAATCTTGATGGGTTTGATGACTTCGTGCAGGCCACCAAATAGCAATTAACCCGTATCTCTGAAGATGTTGAGTCATTGACTGACATCTTTAAGAAGAACCTAAAAGACCTTGAAGATGAAGTGTCCTTGGTGAAGAGGGCCATTCATGGGAGTTCCAAATGCGGTGGTGATCCTCTTTCACAAAAGATCAAGGTGCCAGATCCCAAGTCTTTCAGCGGTACCCGAAATGCCAAAGAGTTGGAGAATTTCATATGGGACATGGAGCAGTATTTCAAGGCTGCTCGAATCCTCGATGGCGAGAATGTGACCATTACAAGCATGTATCTGTCTGGTGATGCAAAACTATGGTGGCGCACACGGACATAGGACGATGCTTCTGCGGGTAGGCCTCGGATTGAAGTTTGGGAGACCCTTAAGAAGGAATTGAAGGACCAGTTCTTGCCTCAGAACATTGCATGGATTGCAAGGGAATCTCTAAAGAAATTGAAGCACACAGGCACCGTTCGTGACTACATGAAGGACTTTAGTTCCTTGATGCTGGACATTCGAAATATGTCAGAAGAGGACAAGCTCTTCAATTTTATGTCCGGATTGCAACCATGGGCTCAGGCAGAACTCTGAAGGCAAGGTGTGAGGGACCTTCCTACTGCCATGACAGCGGCAGATTGTCTTGTAGATTTCAAGATGACTAGGTCTACTACACAAGACAAGAAGAAGTCCAAGGAGGGGAAGAAAGACAAAGGCCAGTCCTTCAGGTGCAAGGACAAGAAGAAGGATAAGAATCAAAAGAAGGATAAAGGTAGTGGCTTTGTCAAGACTAAGGCAGATTACAATAACAAAGGGAGTAGTAGTGGGACTAAGCCCAACTCCGGTTGTTTCATCTACAATGGTCCCCACCGTGTCAGGGATTGCCCCAAGAGGGAGAAACTGATTGTTATTGTTGCTGATTCAAAAGGAGACTTAGACTCGAAATGTGGTCCAACCCGAGTCAATCCTCTGCAAATGTTGAATGCTCTTACTGAAGAACAGTCCATGGAGTTAAAAGGGCTCATGTTCATTCAAGTGACGCTGAACGGCAAGGAAGTTTTGGCAATGGTGGACACGGGGGCCACTCATAACTTCATTGCGCAGAGGGAAGTAAGTAACTTTAATTTAAAATTAATTGCACATGCTAATAAGATGAAAGCTGTGAATTCTGAAGCCAAGCCTGTCTTAGGTATGGCCACCACTTCTATGAAAGTTGGTTGTTAGGAAGGCATAGTTAGCCTTATGGATGTACCCTTAGATGATTTTGATCTAATTCTTAGAATTGATTTCCTTACGAAAGCCAGAGTGGTAGTTGTGCCATATTTGGGAGAAGTTTTTATTTGGGACAAGGATTGTGAGATACCCCTCGGATCCGAGACACGGGTTAATCAGGCCCAGGCCCAAACCCGAGGGAATATCAAACAATTAATATTTTATAATGAACACGGAATACAAAATAAATTAAGAAATGAAATTAAAGCTGGAAGGAACTAAAAATAGAATCCGCAAAATATTATAATTATTAAAATCCATCAAACCCAAACTCCAAAACTCCATCAGTTTACAACTTGGGAATCCATCTCTAGTGGACCCCTATTAAACATCTAAACGGAAGATAGAACAAATGTAATAAACGTCCAAAAATAAAACTATAGAGAGAGCCCTACATCATCGGAAGAGTGAATAGAGACCTCTGCTCAGCACGAACACGTCTAAGCCTGGAACTGTCGTATACCTGAAAAATAGAAGTGGGTCACGCCCACGCGCAAGTTCTATACAACTACAATCCAAACAGAGGCCCGATACTCATGTACATCCTAAACAATTCAACAATAGCTAATAGTCCGTAAATATATATATAGTCACACTAAAGGACTCTCACTAGACTACAGGCCGGTCTCAACCTGAATAGAGGTAACATGCTAAAACGCACACGAAGTGGGCATATGTACCTATACCTAAACAGGGTACACCTCCAACCATCGTAGCCAGCTACACATCCCGATGCATATACGCTCCCTAGCCATCGGTCCTGAGGCTCAAGCTCATACCGAGGCACCATAACAATACATATATAAAATCCATCCAAAATCCCTGGTATTGCCGCTCAACAAGTAGTTGCCATGACAATATAAATCCACGGGACTTAACTTTTAGTTAATCCCATTCTTATTCCAAGTAGGTGGGTAATGGTATTGATTTAAAAACCAAACCCATCCTTAGTATGCCACCGTCCCATACCGGTGCCTACTTTCCAATCCTCCAGTAGTCAATAATACCAATAAATCAAGTATATATCAACTAAATTCCAATATCCAACATTCAATGTTAGCAGTGATAAAATAAGCATTGATAAACAGGGTCACAACAACAACATATACATGCCCAATTTAAGTTGTTCCCTTTAGTCTGATATAAAGACAGAATTAATTAAAACTTCCATTTAACACCTTACAAATGGCAT